ACTTTGTAGTCGTCTTCCGAGGTGACTTGGCAGGTGCTTTGGCAGGTGTCTTCGCAGGCGACTTGGCAGGTGTTGTCGCAGGCGACTTGGCAGGCGTTTTCGCAGGCGACTGGGCAGGCGTCCTCGCAGACGACTTGGCAGGTGTTGTCGCAGGCGACTTGACAGGCGTCTTCGCAGGCGACTGGGCAGGCGGAATCACGGGGGAGTTGACTGGCGGCTCGGGGGCACCCAGTGGAATTAATAGAGGGGAGCTCGTAGTGGCGTGTCGTTTGGCAGGCGGCATGTCATAGATAACTGTGTAATGAGTTAATAACAATATAACAAAATTAAAATGAGCCGATTCGTACCATCAACTGGCACGTGTTGCCATACTTCGTCAGCTCCGTCGAAATAGTCGACAAGGTGTGTTACGTTTGGCCTTTTCTTCCATCCATCAGGTGTAAAGTAGCGATTCTCGGTAGCTAGCCCCTTTGGTCGCTCAAATTGCCACCCTAGCTTCTTGAGTCTGGTCCACAGTTGTCCCCATGTAAGTCGCCGAACTCTTCGCTTCTGCATGGTGCTACCTCCCCCTGGTCTAAATCGTGAATGGCGCGAAAATTGGCGCGCTCTCTAAATCTCTAAAAATTTCTGGCCACGAATTATTAGCCCGAGGTTAGCTACATCACTGTCAAACTTTATATTTGGCAGCATCACTTGAAGTTTGTATAGTTGTACTTGAATTAAGTATGAGCCCGATTTGCCAATAACCTTATCCTGTAGAATACAGGATACGAAACTTTTTATCCTGTAGAATACAGGAAGCGGGGCTAGAGGGGTTAACCCCTAATGCGTTTCTTCATACAATAACGCTTATGGTGATACTTCGCATCAATTTTTTAAAATACGGTTATCGATTTTTAGCGATAAGGGCGCCCAAGGCTTTAGGGCGCCCTAACGCTTGCAGTTAAGGGCGCCCAAGTGGCTTAAAGGTGCTCCAAGCGTTGTAGTTAAGGGTGCACTAACGCCATTCGTGTAAAATACTTTCTTAAAATTGGATTTATCTTTCGCTAAGAGTTTTTTTGAATTCTGGTATAGCAGCCATAACTGAGTTATAGCAACCATAAATGTCGCATATTATGGTTGCGGTAACGACAGTATCACGTGGCGGCACAACATTAAGGGATGCGTTTCATACACGCTATCTTCTTAACGGGCACTTTCGATTTTGTCAGCTACCTCTTTCATCGTATCACCCAGCATGCTTGGGCCCTTCACGCTGAGTGCGTTAGTAGGCCTGCTGCTGGCGTCTCAAGAGGCTTTTGCTGCCTGCAGTAGCAGGTCTAGCCGCTACCAGACCAACCTCAAGGGCGTCTGCGTCTGCAACGCCACTCAATGCGACACCGTCTCGAATGACTACAAGACACTGACTGCGGGACAAGTCGGCGTGTACACGTCGTCCAAGGCTGGCGACCGCTTCGCGTACAAGGTCGTCAATGTCGACGCGACGGCTGCCAGTAACCCCACGTTCACGGTCGATGTGTCTACGCAGTACCAGACGATGGTGGGCTTTGGGGGCTCCTTCACGGATGCAGCCGCTATCAACGTGTACAAGCTGTCATCCACGCTACAGCAGATGGTACTGGACCAGTACTACTCGGACAAGGGGCTACAGTACTCTCTAGGACGCGTGACTATCGGCTCCACGGACTTTTCGACGAGCATCTACTCGTACAACGACAACCCAGGGGATCTCGCGCAGGCCAAGTTCTCTATCGACGTGGATCGAAAGTCGAACAAGATCGACTTGATCCAACGCGCTCTCCGCACGTCCACGCGTGATGTCAAGCTGTACGCGTCTTCGTGGGCTCCTCCTGCCTGGATGACGACAGAGAACACGACGATCAACTGCGCAGTCAAGGGCAAACCCGGTGAGGCGTACTGGAAGTCGCTGGCTCTGTACTATTCCAAGTTTTTCGACGCGTACAAGACGGAGGGCATCGAGTTCTGGGCCATGACGGTGCAGAACGAGCCCACCAAGTCCATTCTCCAGACGTCGGCGTGGCAGTCGCTGCGGATGTCTGCCGAGGTGCAACGTGACTTTGTCAAGCTGGATCTGGGTCCCACTATGGCCCAGAGCCACCCTGACCTCAAGATCATTGCAGGCGATGACCAGAAGTCAGGCATCTTGGACGAACTGGCGCCGTTCCAAGACCCAGAGTCGCTCCAGTACATCAGCGGACTGGGCGTCCACTGGTACCGCAACTTGGACTTTTTCTTCTTCGGCATCGGCGGAGACTTTGACAAACTCTTGACGTTCCATAATAAATTCCCCAATGTCTTCATGCTCGCCACCGAGGCGTGCGAGGGATTCCTTCCGAGCTGGTTAGGCACCGGCTCGGGTCCGTCTCTGAAGGACGAGGACAAGAGCTGGTCTCGTGCGGAGAATTACGGCCGCGACATCATCGAGGACGTCAACAACTTTGTGGTCGGCTGGACCGACTGGAACTTGGCTCTGGATACCGCGGGAGGCCCCAACTGGGCCGAGAACTTCGTGGACGCGCCCATCCTGGTGGACGAAGAGGGCGGCGCCGAGTTCTACAAGCAGCCGATGTTCTACGTCATGGGCCACTTGTCCAAGTTCGTCCCTGCTGGCTCGCGTCGCGTCGACTTCCCCAAGTCCAAGACGCTCAGTAACTTCCACCGCACGGCGTTTGTGACGCCAGACAAGAACGTGGTGCTGCAGTTCTCGAACCGCGATAACTCGGACGTCACGGTCAGTGTCAAGCAGACTGACGCCAAGACCTTCACGCTCCAGCTGCCGGCGCACTCGATGCAGACGGTCATTCTCCCTGCCTCGAGCGCTACGAAGATCCAGTCGTAACTGCGGACAACGAGTGTTATAAATATTCGTACGGAGATGCTACCGATTAATAAAATAATTGAAACAGAACCGACTCCACCTACTTGTCTTGTGCGTCTCCAAGGTCTTTCACAATATTTTTGTCGTCAGGTGGAGATCATGATGCACTCTTGTTCAATGAATGCAGTGGTGGTCTAAGGAGACTTGACGTTTTGGTTGCTGGCTGGAAATTGCAGAATGGCTAGTTGAGAGGAACTGGAAGCACGGTGGCTCAGACTGCTCAGCCCAAAGTAAATGCTCGTTTACATACAGATCCTTGTCGTACGATACTTCTGCTCACAGATATGAGATCCGGAAAACACTACCCGAGCTCGTTCAACATGTGAATTCGCTGAGTAAAAACCTGGTCGAGTTGACCGAGTGTGTGTTCGTCTACAGGTGGCATGACGACTACGATCTCCACAAGCTTCGTGGATCGGCCAGACTAACTTATCGTTCTGTGCGTGCTTAGACTCTTTACTAAAGTACTTCGCACATAAATTGCTGAGATTGCTGAGATTGCGGCCTAAGTAATGCAAAATCTCAGCAAGTTTTCATCTGGTAGATTGTCAAAACAAGGGCGAATTTGCTGCAAAAGTAACATATCATGAAGAGAGCTCATTAGCATACACAGGGCTAGCGAGAAAACGGCAAACACCCAAGCTGGCACACAAGTCACTCAAAAACGCTCAACGCTTTTTGGTAAGAACATCACATTGGTAAACCTTCCCATCCCTGCTGTAGGTTTCAAAATCCAGTACACGCCTTTGTAGATCTACCACGTAGCTAAAGTAAAAGGATATAAAGCCAAATCAAGGGAATAGATACCCGAAATGGTCTTTTAAAACGGTCCAAATAATGAAATGGTTGAAGCGATGATCGGCATTGCTAAAACGCTTAGCATAAAAGCATCAAATCTCCGATAAAAACGACGCCACAATTTACAAACCATTTGGACAGCCTGCCGGTACAGCCCTGCCGGGTGGAAAACATCTCAGCATGCCTGTTCATAATCGCTCCCTCCGTCCCCATTCCACATGCCCAAGCAATTCGCTCTTCTAGGGTTGTCTTGGCTGCTAATTTCGGGACCCTCCAGCCGTCGGCCCGCTCGAAAACTTTCCGGTTGAAGCCGTATCAGCTGAGAGCGCGATCCAGGACGCGTCCAAGATCATCAAATGGACAGCTTAGTGCCAAACCGAGATATCCTGGGCGTGAAGCCGACACGAACTTGCGTCGTGCGCGTTGAGCAAAGATCATACGATGGTTTTCGTGGCCCTCGGAGACGTACATCTTCAGAATTTGCTGCAGATATCTAAATTCTTGTGGCTCGGCATATTGCACGTCTTGAACATTACGGTGGCTTACAAGGGCGATCCGTGCTCTACACTGACGTCAACACACTCCATCACCTGCGAGACACTTGGCCACAGCATCTCCGTGATTATACTTGACGGCAGCACATCCATATCGATAGTATAGAGGAAGTGTCCTCTCCATCTGCACATGTTCGAGCATGTACAATATGACGCGTAATTGATAGTATCGACAGTAACGATACCACTTGACGGCTCCGTACTGAATAGCCACCTGCATATGCTACGACGCTTAGTGGTAGGCGCTATAGAGAGCTTAAAGCGCGGACCGTAGCTGCAGTGCCGCGCTGGCGTATTCTGATGGCGCGACATCGTAGATCGTCGAAGAGAAGCTAGGTGAAGCTGAAGGCTGCGTGTGCCACGTCAAAGGTTGTTAGATAGGCGCCAGTGCAGCTGCACTCCGTGCACGAGTGCCGCCGTTGGCCAGTGCTGTCAATAGACACGGCCCAGACCTCTTTTTGACGTTCTGCTCGCCAGAATGTGCCGGAAGTGGCCGTGTCGGTGGCGACGTACATCGCGTGTCAGGCAGATATCAAAGCTTGGGGGTAGTAAGATAGTGGTCCACGAACGCAGAGATTAGCGCCGCACACATGCAGCATGGCTCCAGTAATTCGACAGGCGCGCATATCTGCAATCTGAGGTACCTTCCGAGTCCTTGGCTTGCTCGCCTTGAAGTCGAGACTCTGGAAAGAACCTCTCGATTCTTATACGACCGAGGGTGTTTTGATCGGCTTGACTCTGTTCATGCCATGTCGGCCGTGGTCGGACGAGAAGCGTGTGTTATCAGCATAATGCCCATCTAAAGCACAGCAGCCGATGTTAGCGAAGCGATCGTGACGGCAACAAAGAGCTTATTAATAGCGTTGCTCTCTCTCGTGAATAGGGTAGCACTCACCAAGTATACAGCTTCGCTTGGCGACGAAGTACCGGTATCGAGTACAGTTTGATCATCGACAGCAGCGGAAGAATCGCCGTTAGCCTCCTTCAAACTCGAAAACCAGTGAGGAACAAGTCGCTTGCCTCCGACGCCGCTCGATTTCAGGTCAAGGGCCTGTGTACCCCTTGGATTGTTCGCTGCGATGTGACTGGCTGAAACAGCGGTGGTCTCTACCACTTGTGAGCGCTCCATTGGCTGCAGAGCAGAGCTTGCAGTCGCGTTGGTGTTAGTATCCTCACCCCTAAAGATCCGGCATCGATTGGCCAAATTGCTTTTTACACAAGCTGTACATACAATTCATCAAAGATCACAGCAGATCTTCAACTTTCATCTGTAAGGATTTTCACCTTTTTCATTTTAAAAGATTTTCCGTCCTGACAATTGGACTTCCTCGGATAACATAAGTGACCGCTCCCTGTTTGCAGTTTGTAATCGCCTCCGTCAAAGCTTCTTCTCTAAGCTATAGACGCGCATGTGAACGTCAAGGAGTCCTGGCCAAGAACCCTATCGTTGTTCTACTCAACAAGACCCCATTTCTTCGCTTCTTGCAGCTGGAGTCTCTCTCCAGAGCGTACTGGTGTGTCCATGTTGGTGAATTGAGGAGACAGCAACGTGGCTATCGGCTGTCAGTGCCGCTACCAGACCAACCTCAAGGGCGTCTGCGTCTGCAACGCCACTCAATGCGACACCGTCTCGAATGACTACAAGACACTGACTGAGGGACAAGTGGGCGTGTACACGTCGTCCAACGCTGGCGACCGCTTCGCGTACAAGGTCGTCAATGTCGACGCGACGGCTGCCAGTAACCCCACGTTCACGGTCGATGTGTCGACGCAGTACCAGACGATGGTGGGCTTTGGGGGCTCCTTCACGGATGCAGCCGCTATTAACGTGTACAAGCTGTCGTCCACGCTACAGCAGATGGTACTGGACCAGAGAAGGGGCTACAGTACTCTCTAGGACGCGTGACTAGCGGCTCCACGGACGTTTCGACGAGCATCTACTCGTACAACGACAACCCGGGGGATCTCGCGCAGGCCAAGTTCTCTATCGACGTGGATCGAAAGTCGAACAAGATCGACTTGATCCAACGCGCTCTCCGCACGTCCACGCGTGATGTCAAGCTGTACGCGTCTTCGTGGGCTCCTCCTGCCTGGATGACGACAGAGAACACGACGATCAACTGCGCAGTCAAGGGAAAACCCGGTGAGGCGTACTGGAAGTCGCTGGCTCTGTACTATTCCAAGTTTTTCGACGCGTACAAGACGGAGGGCATCGAGTTCTGGGCCATGACGGTGCAGAACGAGCCCACCAAGTCCATTCTCCAGACGTCGGCGTGGCAGTCGCTGCGGATGTCTGCCGAGGTGCAACGTGACTTTGTCAAGCTGGATCTGGGTCCCACTATGGCCCAGAGCCACCCTGACCTCAAGATCATTGCAGGCGATGACCAGAAGTCAGGCATCTTGGACGAACTGGCGCCGTTCCAAGACCCAGAGTCGCTCCAGTACATCAGCGGACTGGGCGTCCACTGGTACCGCAACTTGGACTTTTTCTTCTTCGGCATCGGCGGAGACTTTGAG